TGCCGTCACAAACTTCCACCAGTCCTTCGCTCCCAAGTGAAGTTGGTTTAGCGCGAACCGGACTCTCAAATGCTCAGGAGATGAGCAAGTAAAGAAACACCCCTCTATGTCAGATATCCACCTCATCGCTACAATCGGGTACTAGGTTCCATCGAACCCTGATGGTTTCGTGTTGCTGAATTCTTGGAACAGCAACGCATCACCACCATGCAGCCTCGTTGCAGCTATAGTTGCAGTGCCCGCAACAACAACAGCCTCAGAAAGAGTGGCGTATCTCTCGTCGAATGTCTCTATCAGGGTGCTCTTGTTAGAGCCGAACATCTTTGTAATCTCATTGCGGATAGAAGCAGCCACCTCATCATGTATCATCTGGCGGAGCTCCTCGTCGCTCACACCCCCTCCACTGGTACCTGGTCTTTGGCGTGTCCCTACCATGATTCCTCTCTGAAACACAACATATGATATCAGTAATTCGCTCGGGTGTACACACACTCGATATCCCAATACTACTTGATCTTTGGTACCCTAAGGATTCTTACTTGTACTGTGCACTGACCCCGGTATCTTCAGTAGTACAGGCCCAATACTAACATCCATACCGCATCAGCATTCATCCCAAGTCCTCCTCCCAGAGTCCCAAATCCTAAGTACGCTACTCTCTCTAATCATGTGCTACTCACTAGCAGATCTCTCATAAGCTCCTTGTTGCTATCTAAACACTCTCAAGCATCTCTAGCAGCAAAACCCCTAGACTAAGGCATTATATATCAGGCCACTCTAGTCCTAATAAGAATACCTAGTCTACTCTAGCATGCATAACATAATTCATCATATAGCATAGCATAACGTATCTTTTAACACTTATTGTAAGGGTATTTTGGAAAATCACCGTTCGGGCACTGGCTGATCGTACACACGGCTCTGCGCTGTTTGTCTCAAAACTCTTTTTACTGTTTAAAAATTTACTTCATTATCAAAATTTTCCTCAAATCCTCAATTTGAGTTCAGATATGCCCGAAGATGCATCCGAATCCCTCAAACCAAGGCTCTGATACCAACTTGTAACACCGTAAAATTTAAGACAATTTTTCGGATTTTAAAACAAATTTTCCAAACACATTTATTAACAAAATCTCATTGTATCATATCTTCGTTTCACAAAAAATTTCCCATGATCAAAATACATAAGATCCCATGTGTGTGTAGGAATCATGTCGGCACCTTCCCGCGATCATCACTAGTACCTAAAACACATAACACATAACATGGTAAGAATAAAGCTTAGTGAATTCCCCAAAATACCATACATAATACATACTAGCCACTCAAGATATAACTCAGTGGGCCCTTGGGCCCTAACTCTATGGACCCTCTGGTTCAAGCTCTATGAACCTTCCGGTTCTAACTCTGATATACTCTGATATACACATGGCATAAATCACATAGAAATAATGCAGTGCAACACAACACATAAATAACATACAATAACTCTGTCACATAACTCTAATTACCACTCAAGGTAAAGTATAGTGAGAAGACTAACCTCAGATGTCTCGGTAAATCTCTAACTCGGTAGAAATACGATCTAGCCTCCGCCTAATCACATAAAGTAATACTCTCATAAATATAACTCTCAGGACTAGAATCAACCCTCTCTTGGCAACCTCAAAAGGGTAAAAGACCATTTTACCCCTCTTTTGGCTCAAAGGCCCTCATTGTTGACCAAACCTTAAAAGTCAACCAAATTCAACAGTCAAACTTTGACCCGAATCATCGAGTGCACTTGGGCAACTCGGCGAGTCTACACATGTCCACTAATTCTCTAGTCTCGTTGTGCATGTCGAGTCACTCCCCTTGCTCGACGTGTCACACCTGGCATGAATCGCGAGGCCACCCCGACTCAACTCGCTGAGTCTCAAGATCAACTCAGCGAGTTCCGCCTTGAGCTCCAGTCCTCCAATCCCTCTATGACTCACTGAGTTGTTCCCCCAACTCGGCGAGTCTACTCACCGAGTGATTTACGGGAAATCCTAACCCTACTCGCCGAGTCCGCCCTTGGACTCAGCGAGTTCACGCCATGCACAAACTCAATTGACCTCTTGAGGTCAGATCTGTTCCTTTGATCCGTAGATCTGACTTTCCCAAGCCTGATAAACACGTAAACCTCGAATCTTGACACTCATGGGATGTCTAGGAGGTTTCACTTGGTGATTTAGCCCCAAAAATAACATCCTAAGCTCAACACCTCTATAGCTCAACATAAAGCAAGCTGAGATAAGCTCTTTAGACCACTATGGGTCCAGATCCGAAATCTCAAAGTGAATAAGGGCCATGTTCTTACAATGTCTTCCATTAAAGGACATGAAAACTCTACATCTATGGATTCCTCCAACACAACAGATAAAGGGGCGATATAGTACCTCAAAGATGAAGTATTTAGCTCGAAATACACATATACACCACCTCCTTGGTCTCCTCTAAGCTGGAAACACCTCCTTCTTGCAAGAATCAACCATAAAGATCAAGAAATGGCTCATTTCCTCTCACAATCGCTCTAGCTCTATTAGGGTTTCTCTCTTGGGTTTGGTAGCCGCAAATGACGGCCCTAAGAGCTTTTAAATAGGTCCCAAACCCAGGAAATTAGAGTTTCATTAAACAACGTGGACTCGCCGAGTCCACTCATGGACTCGCCGAGTCCAGTCATGAACTCGTATGAGAATCTGCGACCCTACTCGGCGAGTCTAAGCACCAACTCGCCGAGTCCCTCCACAAACTCCAAAATAAATGAATCAAATAGTAGCACAGTCCTTTTGGGTTACCCTCAAACTTAACAATCGAATATGATAGCTTTTAGAGAGAGACTAGTTTATTAATTTATTACATGGTTAATAAATTAATTAGAAATCAAATAAAAGATTTGTTAATCTATTATGAGAATAATATATTAATTACAAATAGTAATATTTAATTAAGAATTAATCTGAAATTAATTGGAATTGAGTTTTGGATTAATCGGATTAATTAAAAGTACAAGGGTTGAAGTGTAATTGTTCAATAGTTGAACAAGAGGCATTCTAGAACAATTCTATAGCCTTGGATGTTTTCTATGGTTCTAGAGGATCTAGAATATCTAGAATATCTAGAATTATCTTTGGAGGATAACTAGGAAACCAGATAAATACCAAAAGTAAGATAACGTTATTTTATTGTTTTGGGATGTATCTAAGGTTTCTAGGTACACTATATAAAGACCCATAAGCCTCATATTTTCATCCAAGCATTCTTAGAGAATCTAGGGCCAAAATTCAAGCTCCTTGGTCGCTAGGGTTTGGGTGTGAACCATTAGATGCACGATATTGGTGGTGCATTCTCTCTAAATTGAAACAACACAAGGGTTTCTTGTTATTCATCAATAACAATCAAAGGTATGTTTTCTAACCCCTAGATGATAATTTTGAAAATAATATAAGATTCCTAGGTTTCCCAATTGATGTTCAAATGTTGTATCTTCAATTATAGAAAACATAGATCTTTAATTAGGGTTGCATTCACACATATGTTTTTGTTTGTTATGCTCAAAACCCATCAAGTCTCTGGTAAAGAAGTGATTATGTGTAAAGCATGTGGCTAGAAAGAGTTAAGGTCGAGATCCCATATTGTTGTAGGTACAAAGCCTTTTATAGTGAAGATTGGGTATGGATTACCATCATAGAGACAGGGGTTTCAGGCCCCGATCGGGGCAGGGGTGCTGATTAGCATATCATCCCCTTCTCCCCTACTTGAGCTGTGATTTTCTTAGAAGTGGTGGTGGTGCGTCCACCCCCACTTAAGTCATCAAGTGTCTGCTTGTCATCTATTGACTTTCCCACACAGGTTCCAGGCTGGAATCCAACTGTCGAGGGCCATTCCTTTCTAGGCTAGAATAGGTGCCACGTGGTAAAGGTAACTAGTCAACCAGGCTATATAATCAAGTGTCATTGATAGTTTTTTGGCATGTCTAGTAGGCATGCTATCAAGTCTACCTAGCCTTTAATGTTGTGTCTTACAGTATTTTGTTGCAGTCCTTTCGGTTGCATGTTGCAATGATCTCCAACTTTGATGTTAATTTCCATCATTAGGGTTTTTGTATTTTCCACTCCTTTATGATTTTATGATTTCCGCCTCTTCATTTTTCCTTCTTCTTGTTCATTCTCTTGTCTTTTCTCTGAGTTTATCTTTTTTTCGCCATGGATTATCCGATCAGTGTTGCTCCTACTCCCGATCAATTTTCTACTCTCTAAGAGAGATATCGCTTTCAGTCGGAGGATGGTGTAACTTTTCCTAGTGAGCATCCTAATTTTATTAATCCGCCAGCGGGTAAGATTCCCATTTATATGAAGCATTTCGATGTTGGGTATCATCTTGCAACGCCGGACATATTTCTCGACGTTCTTCATCATTATAATGTTTATATCAATCAGTTACTTCCTAACGGCATGATAAGGTGGTCGCTTTCGAGATGCTCTGTCGGGCAAATGGGATTAACCCTGATATCTAGGTTTTTTTGCCATTTTTTCTATTTCATTGCCGCTTCTTCTGGTGAGAGTTATGCTTTCACTATTTGGAAGCACATTCATGTTCTAGTGATTGAACATAAAAAATCCCTTAAAAATTAGGTGAATCGATGCTACTAGGTAAATATTGATTGTCTGGGGTCAATGGAATGTCGCTTGACTAGAATTTATGATCAGTCTTTTACTTTGTACTCGGATAAGGAGCAGATGGCTAGGGTTCTTCGTTTTTTATCATGTTGTCGGTGATGATTTCCTAGAGTATGTGCCTGTTGAGGTTGGAATGAGTATGTCCTGGAGTCATCGTAGGAATATTCTAGATTTCAATGTTATCTCTCGTGGTTTACTCTAATACATGCATATTGTTTGTCATTTTTTTCTGTTCTTTTTCTCCTTGGCTTCCATTCTTCTATCTATCCCCTCCCATTTTTTAAAGAAATATACAAGGAAATGACTGGTTTCTATTATCAGGTGCTGAGAATAAGTTTGATTTTCATGGACGTATTAGCAAAAAAGTGAGTAGGAAGTCACCAATTTCTTGAAGTGGATATTATTGATAAGGTGTTGCCATTTTTTCCGTCTGCAATGAGGCGTTTATAGCTTGTGCATCCGCTATCCCATACTTTGAGTGGCATCATCTTGTTGGGGAGCCTTCTTGTTCGGCTTCTATTGATTCGATGTGTGTTGATATTCCTGTAGAATCTTCAAAGGAAAAGAGCAGTAGAGGAGGACTTTGTGGGAGATAGTAAGGAGGGTGTGCCTCCGACGGTAAATGTGCATTTGGTGGCCAGGCAGAGTGTGAGTGAGAAATATGTTAGGAGTCTGGCGCTCATGTGACGTTTGTGTCCGTGTAGATTACCTAGGTAGAGCTCCCATGCTCTTCCTATTCAAAATGAGGTGATTGGCATTCCAGACGATCTCCATATGGAGAAAGTTGTTTCCAAGGAAATTACATTTCATACTGACCCATATATGGTTGTGGGAACATCATAGGACTTGGGATTTGGGAGTGAAAGGGGAGGCATGGGTGTTGATTCTTGTCTTTTGCATTTTGGACATGTTAGGTTTCCAGCTGTTGGTGTTGTACAAGTGGGTCATGCTAATGGTGTGACGTTTTCTCCTTCTTGGACTTTGAACGATGAATCTTGTCTTTCCCTATATGAATCTCTTGTTGATTTTACTTATAATGCCCTCCCACCTAGCACCCAGGTTAAGATGTCTAGTTACTCTCTTTCTGACATTGTTAGATCATTTCGTTTTTCTTCGGCTCAAAGTAATAGTTTCTTTGCAGAAGGTGAGAATCTTCTTTAGAGATTCTTGGTTGTTGATGGTGATCTTTCCTGGTTGGCTAAAGAAGCTCAAGTGCTTCATTTTTAAAATGCAGCGTTGAAGGAGAGGGTGTCTGAGTGTGAAAATGATGTACTGTTGCTCAAAATTGTTATGGTAGAAAAGAAAAATTGGAAGATTGCATATCTAGCCTTAAACAGGATAGGATTGCCTTGGGGGCTATAGTTGGTCAATTAAAGAATGAGAATGAGGGATTAAGTATCTAGTTGAAAACCTTAGAGAGGGATCTGTTGGAGAAGGAAAAGATCGTGGAGGAACAGTCAACAGTTGTAGGTGATTTGGGGGGATGATATGTAGTGGGTGATGAATGAAGGGTTGGCAGGAGTGATTAATCATATTTTGGAGATTTTAGAGTTCGGTTATGGGGTAAACAAGCTCCAAGATGCATGTATGGTTGCTGGTAAAGCATTGGGAACGCCAGAAGCAAAGGAATTGGTCTGTGTTGGTTCTCAGTTGGAAGGTGTTGTGGATGATGATGTTGATCATGAAGCGGCTGTTGAGGAAACATTGGACGCTTTTCTTCTCTTGATTATACGTTTGTTTTGGAATTGGATAGGTTGGATGTGAATAAGTTGAGGCATATGGTGTAGGCATATGGTGTAGTCTCATTGTGACGGGTATACTTGCTTTTGGGGTGTATGGATATGTTCTCGTTGTGTTTGTTTTATCCAACTGTAACTTGTGTAGTTGGTTCTTCTTATCACTTTTTTTAAACTGTATATGATCTATCAATTAAGCTATCTATTTAATAGTAGTTGAACTCCTCTTTTTGAGCTATCTTGTTGTTGTTTTATGCCTTAGATTAAACATGACCAATATTTATGAACTTTTTGGCCCATATGTTGGGTATATACATTTGTTAGGCCTTAGAACAGATCTGGAAACAAACGAATTTTTTTTGCCTCACGCTACAGTGGGATCCCTTGTTGGATGTTGGGGGGATTCCTTGCGGTTTGGAAAAGTAGGTTGAAGCGTAAAACAATTGTGTAGAATCGTTTGTTGTTTCAGGATGTAAATCAAGGCATTTGAACTCAAGATGTGAAGCAGGTTAAAGCCAAGGGCTTTGGAACCGTTTGTCATTTCAAAATGTAGGTCGAGGGATTTTTCCTCAACACGTAAGGCAGGTCAAAGCCAAGGGTTTTCGAGTCGTTTGTCATTTCAAAGTGTAAGTTGAGGCATTTGACCTCAAGACGTAAGGCAGCTCAAAGACATGGGCTTTGGAACCATTTTCCATTTCAAAATGTAACTCAAGGCATTTTGCCTCAAGATATAAGATGGTTCAAAGCCAAGGGCTTTGGAACCATTTGCCATTTCAAAATTTAAGTTGATGCATTTGGCCTCAAGACATAAGGCAGGTCATAGCCATGGATTCTGAAACCATTTATCATATTGTTATAACATGCGAGCTTACAATTGTGCACTTAAATAATTTTAGCTAACAGAGGAAATTTCATTGGTTGCGTACCATGAGGAGCGGGTGATCAACCCTTCCCATCATACATGCTTTTGAATGGGAAAAGATATAGAAAGTAAATGCAAAAAAACATAGTATTGTTTTCTTGGGTGTTGACATTAGTAACGGAAACGACGTAAGTTCTAGACGTTTCAAGTTCTGGAGATAGGATTTCCTTCCATTGTATCTAGGATATATGAGCCTTTCGGAAGGGCCTCTATGACCTTGTACGGTCCTTCTAATGTTGTTCCCAGCCTGCCACTTTGTTTTCCATGGCTCGCTTCATTTTTTTCACAACCAAATTCACCTACCCTGAATGCTAATTTTCTTACTCGCTTGTTGCAGTATCTTTTGGCACTTGCTTTGTATTCTACCTGACAGGATGATGTCGTTTCACACTTTTCTTCTATTAGATCAAGACTGATTCGAGGATCTCTATTTTTTTATCGTTGTTGATGAATTCTACTCGTGGAGTTTCTATGAGCAATACTTGTGGTAGAACCATATGCCAGGCTGAAAGGTGTTTCTTGTGTTCTAACATGAGGGGTTGTTATGTATGACCATATCACTATGGGTACTTCTGTTGGGTTATGAGCATTCTAACACTCCTAAGTGTACATGCAACCCTAAATACCTTGAATCTATGTTTTCTCTATTATACATGCAAATATGAACATCCAAGGTATTATCCTAATCTAGCATACAAAACTATCAATATAACAAGATAGAATACATACCTCTTTGATGGTGCCTGTCTTCATGAAGCTTGAGTGCCTAGTGCCCCAAGTGTGACACCTCAAATGGTTCACAATCATCAAAACACTTAGAATAACTTAGAGAGAATTCTACACTTCATGAAATCGGCTAGCCCTCTTCAAGAATAATACTAGTCTCTCTAGTGACCGATTTTCCTCAAGAATAAGATGCTTATATAGTTATACAATTAGGGTAAACCCTAATTGTCATGACTTTCCATTTCCTTGGATCCATGGTGTCACACCCCCAAACCAAGGATGGCGGAAACGTCCGGGGGTGGAGGACTTCATGTATAGTATCATAACCACAATTTCAATAGTAATTTAAGCAAACACAACCAACATATATATAATTGAAAAAGTTACATCACTTGTATGAATTACATGTTTCAAAATCAATTACAATATGTTGACAAAATATGAAAAGTTTGACGCCTTAACGTCCCATCCTCAAAAGCACTTGTTTACCTGTTTAGTGTTATCCTGAGAATACAAGTTGTTTGGAAAGTGTCAACACAAAGGTTGGTGAGTTCATAAGCTTTTATTAATAAACTTAGTAGAAGTCTTTCACATGTAAATGTCGCGTTTGTTTCAGAAAAATCCGATATTTTCCTTGAAATCCGAAAAATGTAGCCTTATAACCAAAGACTAAAATGTATAGAAATCATCATTTCTTAGTAGAAATGTCGTGAGTTTAAAATGATATGGAAAGTAAATTTCTTTATCAACCTAAAACCTACTTAGGTTTTTATGAAACCCCGTAAACTTTATGAATTGTTATCTCCCTAGGTGAGTCGCTATAATCATACTGTGACTATGTGAACCTGCCACAACGTTTCTCAGGCGTCGCGAAAATGAAATGACATTTGTCACCCGTAGACCTGCAGGTCCCACTGTAGCTAGCAGCAAGGTGTGGGGTGTCAAACCCAATATACATCTATATACAAGTATCACGTTCTCCCTCAAGGAGATTTTGATTATAACTACCAGGAATTATATCCCGCACTCGGACGTACGGGGAGAGAGAGTCTCACAACATAGGTTAACAAGTTTACGTGAAATGTGTATGGATATAAATCTTTCTTGTATGAATGTACCCTTTTTGTACGAGTGTGTTGAGTGATGTATCATAAACTATACCTATTATAGTTTATCTAGAATGTATATAATATGTATGAATTCTTTTATGGAAATGTATTAGTGTTGTGAATTTATCAAACTATACTTTTTATAGTTACATAATACGTGTTCTAAATGAATGAATAATATTCAATATGAATGACTTAGTTTCAGTTCATAATGATAAACTAACAAGGAAACACATTCAAATATTAGAACTTATGATTATACACTTTGCTCAACATATTACAAAGTGTTATGATATTTACATGCTGTTGGCTAACTTTAGCAATTCTGCTCTGTTTTGGAAAAATCATAGAAAAATCATACGAAGTCAAAAACTAGATCCGTAAATTCTAAGAGTTCACAAAATGTGTCTAGTTTACTCATAATTTTTATCACGATTTTTAATGACCTCCAACTTGGGTGAAAATGTCCATAATCACAGACTGCTCTGGATTGTTGTTTGAAATGATAGGCAGTTTTGTAAAAATCACCATAAATTGTAGAAAAATCGTATGGAGATGTGAAAGTAGTCATTTTAAAGCTACAAACTTGAACTATTTTCACCTTGTACATTTTTGAAAACAAAAATGTTTAAGATGCCCAAAACAGTCCGTGAATGGAGTTGAACTTTTCTGATGAAGGCTGTTAGAAAAATTTAGTTATGTTCTTAGTGTTTTAACTTGTATTCCCCCCCCCCCTGAAAACTTGAGAAAACATGAAAATGTAGGGGTATGAACTCACCTTAAGTGATTTCAGTAGGTAAGTGTTGAAGAAGAGAAGTGTTCAACCCAAGAACACTTGAAGAATCACTTGAAGATTCGAAGATCTAACACAATTATGAGAGAGTTTGTTTAAGATATCCATGATTCGAGTGGAAATAATTGAGATAATCATAAAGAGAATGGATTATTCTTACCAAATGTGGAGGAAAATCCAAAGATCAGCCCTCAAATCTTGAGTTCTAGAGAGGGAAAATGAGAGAGAAAAGAGTTTGCTCTTTTTGGTGAAAAGAGAGGAAATGAGAGAAATGAGGAGAGAGGGTGAATATTCAGCTCTCCAAAAACGTGGGGAGGAGTGATGATTGAGTGGAAAGGACATTGATGTGACCTAGGTAAGGTAGGGAGGTGTGGCTGGTCATAGAGTGGGTGTGGTAGTGGTTGCTTGTGTCATAAAGTAAAGCAAAGTCAACACTCCACCTCTTTGTACTTTACCCACTTGCTCTTATTATTTAAATAACGATTTTTATGAAAATATGATTAAATTGAGAATATTTAGGGTTTATTATGTTAAGATATGATTTTCGGTGACAATCCCACGTTAAAATAATTAAAAACGGGCCTTAAATGCAAAACTATGCGAAAACCGGGAAGAAAGGCACTCCCAGCGAGACCTCTCGGTCCCTAGGCCGAGGTTCGGTCCTTGCTGGGGGCTGTAGCCGGAAACGAAACGAACAGAGGGATGCGAAAGGGGCGAGGAAGCGAGAGGTGAAGGCGAGAGAGGGGGTTCGGTCCGGAGATAAGAGGCGACGCGTCCGACCGAAAGGTGCCGAATGAACAGTGGTGAAAGTACCTTCGGGTTCGGTTCTTCCAGGGCGAGGTTCGGTTCGGTTCCTCTTGAGTAGGGTTCGGTTTCGGTTGGTGGTGAACAGTACCTTCGGGTTCGGTTCGGCTCAGGAGGGTTCGGCTCCTCCTTGCTCTCAGTCCCTAAGAGGACCATCGGGTCCTAAGAAGCTTCTCTCTTCTCGAGAGGTTTCGGTTCCTAATGTCTATTTTTCTCGTTTTTACCCCGTTTTAAGCCGTTTTTGACACGGTTAAGCGTCGGAATGACCCGAATGATTCTAAAAAGTTACGGCAAACTTTGGAGAGAGATTTGGGAGAGATTTTACATACTTGGAGAGACTTGGGAGAGATTTGACATTCTTGGAGAGATTTCTCATACAGAGAGATATTTGAGAGAGATTTCACATACTTGGAGAGATTTGGGAGAGATTTGACATTCTTGGAGAGATTTCTCATATAGAGAGATATTTGAGAGAGATTTCACATACTTGGAGAGATTTAGGAGAGATTTGACATTCTTGGAGAGATTTCTCATACAGAGAGATATTTGATAGAGATTTCACATACTTGGAGAGATTTGGGAGAGATTTGACATTCTTGGAGAGATTTCTCATACAAAGAGATATTTGAGAGAGATTTCGCATACTTGGAGAGATTTGGGAGAGATTTGACATA